TAGGAAATAGTGGATGTAATAAGATCCAAAATTACAGCTTCTAGGAAGAGAGGAGCTGCTCTGCCAGCCAGAGGTACAGTAAAATTCTCTAGTAGTAAGACCTTGCTTGTATTTTAAAACTCTGGGAATTTGGCCTTTAGGTTTGTTACGCGTAGTCTGTGTCACTGCAGAACACCTGTCTGGAAGATCAAATTACATAGAAAAAGATGTTAAGGCTGACTTTGGATCTAGATTTCGGTTATTAGCACTGTTTATGAGTTACATTTTGGTCTACTGGAAGTTTTTTGTGTCAGAATTATTGACAAAACTTGAAGGAACAAAATTTGGTTTATGTTTTAGCCAATAATGAACTTTGTTTTTAATTACTACATTTCAGTATAAGTTATAAAAATTAACTATTAACTTAGACCCAGATTTATGGTGGCATATATCAAATTTCACACGTTCAGCTTGTGAGAACTTGAGAACTTGATGGACAACTTCGGTATCTCTCTGATAGATGACTCTCTTTCCTCAGAGCTGATATGAAGCCAAAGTCCATCATAATACAGAGATCACAGGGTATGTTGTATTTAACCTGATATGCAAAACTGAGGTGTCTTTTGCAGTCATTTAGGACTGCTTCATAGTTTTATTGTAAAAGTTGAGGTAATAATGTAAATGTGCTGGCCGTGTTTCATTCCTCCAACCACCTATGTCTCATACTCTCATACAAACCTTGCTAAACCATTTATAAATATAAGTGCTGCCTGAAACCAAAGTATTGCTGTACACTCTTCCTGTCCTGCTAAATTGCTGAGTTGCAGCAACCTCTAGAGTGCAAAGTAATTTTGTATATGGTTTCTTACAATTATGTTGTAAAGCTTAATTAGTTTTTGGTAGAAGATAAATTACAAATTTATCAGTAGCTGTACTGAACAAAGCAGTGGTAATAATTAACCCCACTCACAGTAGTGAGCATTATGCACAGCATTATTTACAGTCTGAACTATTCTGTAGGTAAGATGATGCAGTGATTTTTGCTGAAAGCAGATTTTCAGGATTCTGAGAGGTGACAAAAGGCTTTGCATAACTCTTAAAAATTATCTTTGTAGACATGCACTGTACATTTTTTTTTTTTTTTTTTTTTTTTTTTTTTTTTTTTTTTTTTTTTTTTTTGGGAAGCTATAAAAGGAATGCCATTGGATTGCTTCTGCTGTTGTGCTCATGAATGTGGATGGTAGAGTAGAACAATAACAAGTACCTGCATATTATCACAAAACAGGACTGTTATATCTTTTATTATTTATGTTCTTTAAGAACATAAATCCGTCCTGAGAAAATGATCAACTTTTTAGATGTCGGGCAAGAAAAAATAGCAAAAAAATGAAAAGGTAGAGTTTTAAAGTTCGGAATGCATTTTGATATTTGAAATGTTTGTATCCAGCTAACTTATTCACTGGAGATTATTTACAAGGAGGTTTGGACTTGCATGTTGTGTAATGGGAAAAATTGTCAGTTCATTCCGGAGTATTAGGTCAGTTTGATTAAACTGTTCAGAAAATACTGTAGTTGGAGAATTCTCAACATTGCCCTGGTGTATCCACAGAGGCATATAGACTGTGCTACAGGGGTTGGTTTTTGCAGTATGATTCTTCAGTGTTTTAAAAAAGCAATTTGATTTCATCCGCTCAGGTAGAACCAAGCTGCAGGCACAGTCAGGGGATTAATGTTTATGACTCCATTTCTCAAGGCGAGTTTTCCTTGGAGGCCCTAAAACAATAATTTCAAATATAAAAAATAAATCTTATTCTGCTTGTGCTCACTGTTGTTATCATATTGTACCAAGTTAGTGAATGACTTCACATCTCTGAGGGAATAACAGATACTTTCAGGTAAAGTTATGTCAAAATGACATCTTGGAAGTGCACTTCTGGTAGTTAGAGGCAATAATAGACATTATATTGCTGTATTTAAGGCAAATTTCCTATGTAAATGGATCGCATGCATGCTTGCTGTGCATCTGTCTGCCAGCCTACCTAGTATCTCTCTCTTCCTCCTCAGGTATTTTAACCCTTTCAGTCAAATTTGTTGTGGTGGGAAAGAGAAATGGCAAAAGTAGAGGCCATATGTGAAAATCTACATTTGCTTATAAAAGGTAAATCTAGATAAAATGCCACTGCTGAGAGAGAGGCTCTATCATGAATTGAACTGTTACCAGGATGGATGGGCTTGGCAGTGAGCACATGCACGTTAGCCAGCTAATAAACATCTTCAGAGATCACAGTCTGACACAGCACAGGCTGCCTTTTGCCCAGCCAGTAATTAAGGGATGTGGCAAAGTACTGTAGAAGGGTCTAGAGAACCCAGATAATTCCTGAAGCTGTGGCAGTGGTAGGGAGTGTAAAGGATGGAGGATGCAACTCAGAAATTCAGGCTTCATCCTTTTGTGAGCCGTAGGATTAATTTGCTAGGAGGAGGAGGGGAATGAAAATCTTGTCAACTCACTCTCTTTATTTAAGAACGTGTTTCTGGTCTTAGCCTTTTAAACAGAGAAATATAAAGATGACTGCTTTCCACTCTTCTGCCAGTTCAGATGTAGCCGCTTCTGTATAAAGTGTGCTTGGTGCCTTAGGGAAATTTATACGGTTGGTCAGCCCTGTGTTTTATTGTGCCTTCTAAAACAGCTGGAGCTTTACTGCTTTCTTTGTTTATTTTCTTCTCTATTCATTTTGTCAATGTGATCAATAATGCTGTTTTAAAAAGAAATGTATCAGTCGCTTTCTATTTTTCAGAAGCTCCTAATGCTGCTAAGGATCTGTATCTCCATTTGGGAGTTATTTGGCACTGTAGTGCCACAAGGCTCAAGGTTATAAAATTTAGCATACTTGTATGCAAATATTTTTTTCCTAGTTTGGATTGGTCTGTATCTAAAGTGTTTACACTGATGAATAATATTAAAAAATGCATTATGTGCATTAATGTTTGGAGGACTTGATATTATGCTCTTCGAATCAGTGAAAAGCCTTTTGATGCATACAGCATTTTAAAAGGCCTTGGATCAAGATCTTAGAAGTTAAACATCATAGACTTTTTTCCTAATGATCTGAATATTGGAAGTTTTGAATTCTGAATTTTGTCATCAACAGCTCTGTATGACTGAAGGCAAATTATTTAAATGCATTATGCTTTTTAAAAAAATGTAACCCAGTGTTTCATTCAGTGTCACAAGTACTATATTAATATATTTCAAGTGATTTTTGAACCATAATTATTCATTCAAATCAATACAGAACTACCTTACAATAAATTTATTTCTACCAAAAATACTCCTAGTAAATGATTTATTACACATTACAACGGGAAACAATAATTTATTAAAAAGAAGAGAAGCTCAAAGGCTACAGAGGATATCTTTGTGTCTGAAGTATATTACTGGAGATTGGGCCAAAGACAGGTTAGATATGTTTTGTATATCCTTGGAACAAATATAATAATTTTAAGGAGATCTGTCTGGCTAATAAGTTACAGTTTTGTGCTGTTATGTGATCTTTACACCAGAGACGCTGCCAAACCAGTAAATTTTTCTGTTTTGTTAGGTGGATCTGGATAATAAAATGCAAATCAAAACAAAGATGGATATTTTTTTTTTTGTTAAGGGAATTGTGTCTCCTTTAATTCTGTAAATAAATAGAAGGCTTTATGCCCAGATTAGTTACATTTGCTGAAATCTGGAGTGCTCTAGACCATTGTACTTCCTCTAAATTTGTCTATGTTTAAGGAAGACAAGAGTGTGACCAGTAGAAAAACATTGTAGGGTTGCAGTTTGCTCCTGCGTTCCTTTACACCCTGTCTTCATTACCAAACTGAGCAGAAATAATTGAATGTAAGGAAGATAATTTTAAAATCAATATCACGTTTAATAAATCTCAGGTATAAAGCAGCACTTGGTATACTGTGTGACGTATGTTGAATTATTAACCCCAATTTGGTATCTCATGGAAAATACTAAATAAAATTCTTCTAAGAAGTAATTCTGATTTTAGGTTGCTTCTTAATACATCTCTTACAGGATCAAAACAAGAAATTAACTTATTGTTAACACTTACTCCCCAGCAGGGGAATAATTATTTTGATAGGCAAGTGAAATGTCGCTTGCATATTACCCAGCATAAATCTTTCTCCTTTAAGCTCACCAAAGGTTTTGGAAGAATGCTTTGCGGTAGATCTACAGTTTTAGAATCACAGATGCATACTTAAAAAGAAGGCATTTGTGCCAGGGTGGATTAATTTAAACTAAATAGGAGATTTTTCTCATATTTTAAGTAGGCAAGAAAAGATCATGGTTTTAAGGTTTCAATTTTTATTCTAATTTTACATTAATCTAAAGTATTTTCCTGGAAGGGGAAAAAAAAACCAAACCTCATGTTGATTTGCAACAAAGTAGGGTGATGTATTTGCCTTAGGTTTGGTGATTCTGATTGCCAGGCAGAAGGTTACAATAATACAGATGAATTTTTATTTTTCAGTCTACATCCTGAGTTTTGGTGAACTGGGAAATGGTGCATGGCAGTGTTCTGTAGCATATGGGTTGGGGCACTCCTGGGAAGTATGTTTTGGTCCTGACAGTGCCATGAATTGTGAGTTCTTCTCACAGAGGTGGAGGTTCAAGATGGACCAGGGAGGGTGGCCCTCCCCACGGTGCCTTTAGTAGCTTGGGAAATGTGAACTGGAGCTTTGTTTGATTGTACGTTCTTCTCAGTGAGTTTAACTTAGGTTAACAAACTGTTTTGCAGCCTGCTCCATTTTAAATCCTTTTGTGGACAACAGTTCAGGGATATGAGATGGAAGAAAGAATTTTGGTATGAAGAGCTATTTCTGAAAGAAATACTTTAGAAGGAGGTGAGACGTATGGCTTGGCAGACAATGAGTTCATGCTATTTAAGGATTAGAGGTCAGTGTAGTCGAAAGTGCAAAGACAGGAGTGTGACAGGAAGAACACCAAGGTGAAAATGGTTGTAAAGAGCATGGAGAACAGGCAGGGAGAACAAATTTGTTCCTTTTGTTGTTATCTCCTGTGGTGTGACACCAGAGAGGCTGATGTTAAATTCTATGCCTACGTGAAATAACATTTGTTATTTACTATGTTAGAAAATTTCACATACTTAAAAGAATTCTAGAAGTGAAGTCTCTATGAAAATTGTTATAGAAGTTTTAATATCAGTAAAGTTATGGCAAAAAATTCCCCCTCCACATTCTGCCAGTATCTGATCTTACCCAATGAGTAAAAAGGCTGAGGTCTAGGTGCGGAATACTTAGGGCTGACTAATACACCAAAATTAGCTTCAATTAGCCTTTCTTCACACTCTTTAGAAGTCTTATGATTTTGGTGCTTAGAGAACTGAGAATCTGGTGACACATTTTGACCTTGTATAAAACATTTGAGTATTCTTATCAGTAATGGGTGTCCCTATCAATAAAATCATGTTAAAAATATTTTCCATACAGTGAGTAAAGTACATTTTTGTAAGTTTGCATAAGTTGTATTACATTCATTAACTACACCTGTCAAGTAATTATGTCCTTCTGTAATTTTATCAATTTTACTCTTTAAAGTCAAATATGTAAATATCTATATTATAATCTTGTGCATAATTATATTAAATATGTAAATATATGAGATAGTATATAATTATGCATGTATATAACATTTATAGAATATATAAATATATAAAGTCAGAAATTTTACGTGGCAAAAATTAATATTGGGCAGATGTGGGTTTTTTTAAAGTATATAGCAGTATATAAAACATTATCTGCTTTCATTATGAGCTTCAAAGTATTATTATATAGTGGGGTTTTTAAAGCTTAGTTTGATGCCGGGGAAGATTGCAGCTCCTAAATATTTCACCTCATTAAAACCTAGTGTTCTGATAAATGGAAATTTCAGGGACTGCCTTCCTATATGCTCACTTATTATATAACTTAGTGGCACTTGCTGCGAATTTAGCTGTCTGCTGACTAGATTAACTCCCAACTTTAAAAAGCACAGCAGGCTAATTTGTATTGATCTCACACTTTTCTTTACCTGCAGAATTGGACTGGCTTAGCAACCCAAGCTTCTCTACAGAAGATGCACTATTACTGCATCAGCGGACTACAGAAGTTGCAAATCTCATCCCTGAAAAATCACCACTAATAAGGTAGAATATATTTCAGTATCTTTTGAAATAGCCTCATTCTTATGTCCTGCTTATCTTTTGTTATGTGAGACTAAAATCAGGAGCTTTTAGGGGTGCTTTTCATTCCACTGTTCAGTATTTAAAAAGGCCTGAACCGAGTCATATATAAAAGTATGAATAATGCTTCCATGTCCTTTAACTTAAAATAATGAGAAATTATACTTATGCAATTACATTCCCATTTTCTTTTTCTTACAGCTGCATTTAAATCACTGTTATTTCAGAATGGAAAGGGAACTGAGTGATCATGATTCTTCATTAGCTTTTGAATGTCCTAAGTGACCCTTGAAATAATGTAAAGATTAAGCATCATCTTTGCGATTTCTCGGTGGAAACCAGTTCAATCAGCCATTTCACAGTTGAGTTTTATACTTTTTAAAAAGTAGTTGAAGATGTGAATTAATGAAATATTACATATATCAAGTTGTGCAGCTGTGTAGAACATGGTGATCACTGAAGTGGGTGATTATATTCTTTTACAAAAATGAGCTTTAAGCAGCCATGTTTGCTGAAGAACTGGTTTTAATACCTTCACTAGAATAGTTGCTATACTTGGTATGTCTACACTATAACTAACTCTTTAATGGAATCAAGTTGCAGTTGCCAAGTTCAAAAACTTGGTCACTTTTAGTTTGATACAAGCTCCTCTGTTTACAATGACTGTTGGTGGTCATGATAGAGGATATCTTTATAATAACAATCACAGCTGAATACATCTTTTTGTATACTTATTCTTACATGTATTCTGTGATTGAAATGCAATCACTATTCTGTTGATCAGTCATATATTCTGCTTATATTTCTTCAAATATTTTCAGGGCTTTAATGTCATAAACTAAGGAACTTACAAATTATTCAAATAGAATGACGTAGTAAACCCACCACGTTTCATTATTTTGAAAAAGAATTTGTCAAAAAATAGTGTACTGGGAAACGTTTGATCTTTTTGCTTATTCCTAGGGTATGATCTCAGGTCAATAAAAACTAATTACTGCAACATGGGGGTTTTTGGTTTGTTTTTTTGGTTTGGGGGAGTACGTGTGTGTTTGTTTTAAAGGCCTGCTAATGATTCTCCCACTGCTGCTTTTGTCTTAATACCCGTAAATAAATCGTGTAAGATTATTTTGTGAGATGTCTTGCTTCTGAAACGCTGCATTTTCTTTTATTGACATATTAGGAATACTGAGACTTCTCACTCCTTCCTTTTATTGAAAGATTCCAGAAAAGAGCTTGTGCTTTTATTAAGGGTTACAGAAGACCTCCATTATTTCAGTTGATCATTAAGCATGGGAGTGTATGTAGTATGTACAATCATATACGTGTGTTTTGTCAAAACTATCTGTCTTTTGTGTGATCTGTTGCATGTTGTCTTTGTTATTACATTATATAATATAACATTAAATCAGTAGTCATCAAAAACTGTTGTTTGATAGGTGAGATTTGAATTTCTAATCTGGAAATGATTTAAAAGTGTGGTTTTTTATTATTTACATAAGAAATACCAGAAACGAGGGGAAAAAAATACAGACTTTTTTCTTTTGCAGGTCACCCTGAAAGATTTCTCATCCTTTTAGCTTGACCTAAGTTGTGTTAGGAAAGTTAGGAGATTTTATCAGCTCAGTCATCTTCTCTAATTTGGTGATGATAGCAAGTGGATATTTATACAGATGACCCATCAAAATGCCTTTGACAATTAAAACTTTAAGACTGGTTGTCAGTAATTCCAGCAGCTGAAAAAATAAAGATAGTTATCTAGTGCAAATTTATGTCATTTTCCCTGTATGTGTTGCTGCTAACTCTCTTCTCCAAAAATACAGGGAGAATAAAGGTAAAGGGTAAAATGATTCTGAAATTTCTTACGGTGATATTTCTTTACAGTTTTGCTACTTGTACATATATCCAGATACATATACGTATCTTTGTTTCCAAGCAGGACTACTTCAAGATCAGAGTTGTCAGGGGAAAGTGATACAGATGAGAGTCTGAGGCAGTCAAGTAAGAAGAGGAAAAAGAAAAAGAAAAAGCATCACCATTATAAGAAGACAAAAAAGAAAACCAGAGGGGACTCCAGTAGCAGCGAATCAGACCTGGACACTAAGCGCATCGAGGACAAAGCCCCAAGAAGTGGCAGAAATCACGAAAAGGAAGCAGCAGCAAAGTATGTATTTATTAATACTATGCAAGATGTAAATTCATTGTGTGCTTGTACTTGGCTCTTCAGCTTTATGAATTAAATTCTTGCCACTGGCAGGTAAGTTTTTCTAAGCTTTTTTATTTTTTTTTTATTTTCTATTTATTTTTTTATTTTCTAAGCTTTTATATGACTAAACCTGCATTCAAAGGAATGAAAATAGAATTAGAAAAACTTGTTTCCTTTCATGGATCTATGATTTACTGGGAGAGTTTGGAGATGGGTTGCATTAAACATTATTTTTAATTAGGGCAAAAGTCTTAACATAGAGCTGTGTTTGCCTTGTGATATAACTCCCTCCTCACACAGTTAACACTTCTTTTTTTCCTATTAAGACAAAGGTGGTTGTATGATTTAATGTTTATGTCCAGCCATTTACTGCTCTATGCTGTCTGCTTCATACTTCTGGCTCATGTTACATCAGATGAGTATTTGAACAATTGAAATTGTTTTGCTAGATCTTTTCTGTTAATTCCAGGAGCTCTGAAGTACTATGTAATTAGTGGAGATGTCATTTTTATATGGAACAACAAAATAGGTGTCTAGTGACTAGCACGATCTTTGAGCTGTAAAAGAGGTTCTGGGAACACACTGAGTATTCAGGCATACCTAGCTGTGCTTTTCTCAGTCTGCTGGTTTTTGATCACTTCACTGAAGTGGCCCAATGTAACTGGCTGCGTAAGTCACCTTCCCCTATTTCTCATCATGTTTGCTAGTTTGAGCAGCCATTTTGCCTTTTTTGATTCCCTGGTTCCTGTTTTTTCTTTAGCATCTGCAGCTCTGGCTCTAATTCACAGCACTGCAGCTGCTCCTGGGGACAGAGTGAGGATTTGGTGACACTGAGGAATTGTTATAGCTGGGTTTAGTCCAGGCAGTCCTTGCCTTTCCTGCTATTTACTACTGTTCCCAAGGCAGGTTTACCAGGAGTTGAGAGCATAGGCTTGTGGGCATGTATCGATGCTGAGGGCTGTAAATATTGTTTCCCTGTGGTAGAATAGCAGTGGTAGTGGAGGAGTTGTCATCTGCCTCTAGCCACCCTCACCACCTCCCGTATGAAGACTGTTGTTAGCTTGTGGCAGCGAAGGTTTACTTGGCTGTGAGGAAGCACAGTAAGAATCATTGGGATGCTTAGACCATTCTGCTCTGCCAGTCACTCTTGTCTTTACTGGAAGGATGTCTGGGCTGGATGGAATGGACTTCTGTGCTGAACCTGGCTCATCAGCTGTTTGCTAGACAAGGCCAACTAGCCAGTGCTTTGACCAAATGAAAGAGTTGAAGTTCTTTCAGGGTGTCTGTTTTCACTCCTTTCCATAAATTGTTGATACTGAGAGAATATTGAATTTTCAGGAAACTGTTTTTGAAACCTGAACCACAAAATTGCACTAAAATGCAGTAGGTCTTGTGAAATTTTAGAAAGCTTTTCAAGTCTATAAAACTCATTTACTAAGTTATGTATTTGTAACATGAATTCAGATTGGAAGTTCATTTTGGAGGCAGGTGGCAATTTCCCCTTCAGTTCACTTGTATAACTGCAGTCCATAAAGCACTCTGCATGCTATTTTATCAAATGTTTGGGTATAATTACAGCTAATCAACATAATCCTCTCACAGATATATCGTCTTTTAGTAAGGTGCTACGATTAAGAAAGACAAAAGTTAAATTTAAAAAGCAGTGATATATGGCTTTTAGATTATAGTTTATCAAGGAATTAATTGGTTAGATCTGGTTACTACCTTTCATAATCCTAAATGCAAGTTTTGGAAGTGCAAGGAATGTTTGTGTTTTGTTTTGATCATCTTATTAGTGTATTTCTAATTGTTTCTTTCCTAGTGTGTGACTGACTTTGCAGTGATGGATCATGTACCATGCCTTTGAATAAATTAAATTATGGTGAACTATAGAAATGCAATGTGTCTTGGGTTTTGTAAATGCTGAATATATTCACCAATGTTTAGAATATCCTTCTTCTCATTTTCTTCAGTCTAGATAAGAAAACATCAAATCTTACCAGCAATCGTTTTGTTTGGCTTGACGATATCCAGGATTTGACAGCAGAAACCTTCAGAATAGACAAGAAACCAGACCCTGCAAACTGGGCCTACAAATCCCTGTATCGAGGAGACATAGCAAGGTACAATATGTTGGTTTCTGTGGTATTGAAACTAACACAGTCACTATCTCAAGATACGTTAACTTGAGTCTGGCTGTGAATTTTTATATAGAGGAGGAGAAAATAAGACAGCCAAATGGTTTATTTCAAAATTTGACTTTGCATTGGGCAGAAATATTTTAAAAAGCAAAAGATGCCATGAAATAATGGTAATAAAGCACATGACTTTATTTTTTTTGAAAAACATCCTCTGTGTAGTAGACTGTAGGCATGTTAACTGCCATCTGGAGGTGGCAGCATGGGGGCAGGTGCAGAAGTATGCTTTTGAGGTCAAAAGTCCCAGGTTCTGTTATAGGTCATCTTTGGGCAAGTCTTCCTTTTGACCTCTGCTGTTCTGTTTCTGTGTCTGAAAGGGAAATGAAGGTACTGATTTTTGCAAGAGGTTTACTTACTTGAGTAGTTTGATATCATTGCAAAAAAAAAAGAAGAAAAAAAAAAAAAGTACAGATAGTTTCTTAGCAAACAGATTCCGTGTTAGGTCACCCAGATGTTGTACCAAAGGATATCTGTTTTGTGCATTGCTACATTTCAAATAAATATGTGACTTCATCTATATTCAATATCCTTAGTGGGTTACTGGTACTATGATAACCCTTCAGAACATTTCCTTGCATTAATGGAGAAGCCTATCTAAAGAAGCCTACAGTGGGCTCATGCATTATATATGTACACTTACTTCTTGATGTTCTCAAGGAAAATTGTACTATATATAAAAAGTAATTATTTGTGGAGGAGGGAGGATTTAGAGCTTTTGTTTTTGTAGGTATATACCTTTGCAGTAAAATTGCCTGGTTACAGTCCATTCCAATTTTCTGCCACCTTTGGATTGTCAGCTATTGTTTGAGATGAAAAGTGTTATTTTAGCATTGCACGTCACTGTGTCTGCCACTGAAATGACATTCTTGGTAATATTTTAAGATGGTATTTTCCTTTCTTAATCCATAGGATTATTGTGGCCTTTATGAACCTGGTCTCTCTTTCCTCTCCACTTTCCCGCCCACTTCTTGGCATATAAAATGGATAGAGGCTTAGGGATACAGAAAGGTATTACCAGACTGAACTACAGTGTCTGATTTTTCAGTTTAATATAATCTAATCTAAATAGCCTTAAATAATGCTGTCTGTTGTTCTTTCTCCAGCTTTGTCTACATGGCTTAAATGATAGGAGAAAAAAAAAGTTTTTCTTCTGCTAAGTATGACAGATATTGTTGAACTTAGAGGAAGCTTAGTATGATAATAAAAGTTGTAATGGCACTGAAAAAATATACAAATCAAAGTCTTAAATAAGGAGAAAGTTACCAAGTTCTTACACTACTGAAAGTCTATGCATACATTATTTGCGTCCATGTGAATTGAAGTACTTCCTCCATGCTTTCTTTCAAAAAGGAGGTATCTTTTGTAACGTGTATTTTAGAAGATGTTTAATTGTATTTTTCCTTCTAAGATATAAAAGGAGAGGAGAGTCGTGTCTTGGCATAGATGTAAAGAAACAGTGTATAACTTGGGACAGCTCTGCATCAAAAAGGAAGCAGTTACAGAGGCAACCCGAGCGCTACTTCACAAAGAACAATGTGAAGATGCTGAACACAGATGGGATTCCTGTTTGCAGTAAGAGTTCTACATCTGACCCAACTGCTTTTATACCGGTTTTCCAAATGGAAACTGATGATCATTCTGACACAACAGAGGTAAATCCTCTTGGGATTTATGATCCGTCAACTACAGTGTGGCTGCAAGGAAAAGAGTGCAAGAGTGCAGACCATGAACCTGTAAATACGCAGCAAACAACTCAAGAGCCTGGGATAAACATTAACTCCACTCTAATGACAAAAGTGGAAGAACATAACAAGAAAGTCAGAGAAAACCCAAGAGATATTAATGCCTGGATGGAGTTTGTTTCTTTTCAGGTATGGTTTATGACAGACCTGGTTGCTATATTGTAGTTTCATTTGTTTAGGACTATGTATCTTCTGTTAGTGAAGAATGAGTTGTTAATTCATCTTCACAAATGTCAACATTCTTCTTGTGATTCTAGTGATGATTCTCCCTAATGTTGTAATTATTTTTCTCTTTATTTTAAGGATGAATTAATGAGAGGACCTAGCCCTTATGCCAGTAAGGGAGAGCAGGAAGTAAGAAGAAAATCACTGAAGTTAATCTTAGAAAAGAAACTGGCTATTTTAGAGAGGGCAATTGAAAGCAATCCAAGTAATGTTGATCTGAAACTTGCCAGGCTGAAGCTTTGCACAGAATTCTGGGAACCAGCAGCTTTGATCAAAGAATGGCAGAAGCTAATTTTCTTACATCCCAATAATCCAGAGCTGTGGAAGAAATATCTCCTGTTCTGTCAAAGTCAGTTCACTACCTTTTCTGTTTCAAAAATCAATAGTGTCTATGGAAAATGTTTGACTACATTGGCAGCTGTACAGGATGGCAGCATGGTATCTCATCCTCTACTGCCTGGCACAGAAGAAGCTATGCTAGGTAAGGTTCTTTCTATTCCATGTTATGATCAGAATGGTCTTCATAGGAGTTGGCTACATTCTCTGTAAGAATAGACTTTCCGATGTATTACAGGAAGTTCTGATTCTCTTCAAAATGCCTGGCATGCTGATTTGTTAGCTGAGAATTAAAGCAGATATTCCAACCAAATATGGATATAGCAGATGCTTTTCTTCCCCAGGAGAGTTTGCGATATCCAGTAAAGTCTAATGTGCTGAGTGGTTTACAGTACAAATGTCAAGGCTGGAGAATTGCAGCCAACAGCTGAGATGTGCGCTTTTATCTTTGAAAAATATTTATTAAAAAAAAAAAAAAAAGGTTGGCTTGCGAAAGAAACAATTATCTCTTGTTCAAAAGTTTTATACTTAATTACTTTAATCCAGAAAAGAGAAGGGACACGGGAAGTCTGATGTGAAATTTTCTTGAGCATCCCATTTCATAAATGGAGAATTCTAAACTGTAATACCATGTGATCATACCTTTTGTATTTATTGCATGCATATATCTACCACTTATAATTTATTATATAATTATCTCTGGAAGGAAAATTAGTCAGATAGTTAGGATGCTGGACTGGATCCAGGGAAGAAACGAGTTCATGCTCAGTTCTGGCACGGGCTTTAAATTTATATGGAGCTAAATGACTTAACCTATCCCATTTCAATTTTGCTTCTCTACCTTGGGGGGTCATTGTGATTATTCATCTATGCATACACTGAGGAGGGGGAAATACTAGTGTCACCATGAATGTGCTTGGGGTTGGTGTTCTATTTTGTTTTTCTTCCTTTTAAAATTTGTTTTAAATCTAGAGGAGACTATTATGAAACAGTTCACATTTCTTCATGTGTGGCATAGTCCAAGGAACCTCTATTTTTATCCAAGTCCTGTAACTGCTATTTGAGCAATGATGCTATCTGTTATGCAATGTCCAGTCTGGACTTATAGACTGAGATCATAGAATCGTAGAATCGCTTTGGTTGGAAAAGACCTCTGAGATCATTGAGTCCAACCTTTAACCTAACCCTGACATCCCACCACTAAACCAT